GAGTTTGAGGACATTTAGTATTTTCAAGACCAAACTTTTTAACAAGGTTTTTTTGGCATACTTACCCTGATGTAAGAAAATACCGTCTTTACCTTGCTTTACCTGAAGTCCAAGAAAGTACGAAAGTTCACCGACCAGACTCATCTCGAATTCAGACAACATAAGTTTCACAAAGTGATTGACCAGCTTCTTGGATGTTGATCCAAAGATGATGTCGTCGACATATATTTGAACGGCCAATAGGTCCTCATTCGTTTGAAGAGCAAAGAATGTCTGATCTACTCCTCCTCTCTTGAATCCGTTTTCCAGAAGGTACATGGTAAGGCGTTCATACCATGCACGAGGCGCTTGCTTTAGTCCGTACAATGCTTTCTTAAGCCTATAGACATGATTCGAATTCTTGGGATCTTTGAACCCTTCTTGCTGCTTCACGTAAGCCTCTTCATGTAATATCCCATTCAGGAAGGCAAACTTCACGTCCATCTGATAAACAATGAACTTCATTAGACATGCAATAGATAGAAATATGCGTACCGATTCAAGTCTAGCAACGGGGGCGAAGGTTTCATCAAAATCAATTCCTTGAGTCTGAGTGTAGCCTTGAGCAACTAGTCTCCCCTTGTTCCGTGTCGCATTCCCAAACTCGTCAGTTTTGTTGTTGAAGATCCACTTGGTTCCGATAACATTTCCCGAGGAAGGTTCAGGTACTAACTCCTAGACATCGTTTCTAGCGAATTGTTCCAGTTCTTCCTGCATGGCTAAGATCCAGCAATCGTCTTTCAGGGCCTCTTTAGCATTCTTGGGTTCAAGGAGTAAGGGGTAGCAAGCATAATGAGAAACACCCATAAGTTCTTTGACTGACATCTTCGAGTTTCTAGTAACTCTCTCGTTTATGTCACCAATGACTTGCTTGGGTAGATGGTCTTTCTGAACCCTTAAGGGAGGATCACGCCTAGATAACTCAGAACCTTCTTGGGTCGCAGGGACAATGTAGTCAGTTGATGTTTCAGCATTCTCAACAGAAGGTTCAGCTATCTCCTTGTCTGTAGAGCTCTTA